ATTTCAGATTCAAATGAGTCTGGACGCTAGAAACAAAGGGGATTGGGTTGGGATCTATTGCAGAGGTTTCAAGGAAAAGCAGCAGACAGCACAAGAATGAGGATGTGGACTGCAAGGCACTACTTCATGCAGGCAGCACTGGGTGTGTCTCATATTAACTGCAAGTCATAGTGGACATTCGGAGATCGGCTACCAAAGAGGTTTTTAAAACAATAAGATTAACTTCCTGCAGTTCCACTGTCATTGTGCTTCACCTGTGGCTGCGAGTTTGCATTTGTAGCTTTTTTTTTCTTGTTGCACTGCCTCCGCATGAGAGAGATCCATACATAACAGGTTTGCCTCAATATGCCTCAATGCATAACATGTTTAGCCATCCATATCAGCTCTTGCTGCAGGCTTTCGGAACAGTGTTGTCTGTACAGAAATCCACACAGACATATTGTCTCAGTACACATTCTGCTATGATAATACCAATATTTTCTTGCATATGAAACTCCAAAACAGGTCACTGAGGTGGAACATTTTCACTACAGACAGAAATGGCGATCTTGACAACATCCGCCACCTCGCAGGCCTCGGCCGCGTTTCCATAGCAACGCGCACCAACCTGACACAAGCTCGCCTGCAGACAGAAAACATACTCTTGAGTTTCTGCTCCAAGTGCAATAAATGAGAAGCCAACAAATTAAAACTTACAACACCAATACTGTACCTGCAAGCTGCAGTTGTGATTACCACCGAGATGGACAGAGCTACTATTAAGAGCTATTCTCCAATGCTTTTAATAAGCAGCAAAATGACTAAACTACACGTCTGATCATTCTCACCACTTTAAACTGTCGTAAATGTAAAATTACAAAGGAGTTCCTTAATAATAAAAGTAAAAGATCTCCAACATTAGCTGAGCAGAAAACATCTTAAGAACATGTATTTTCAAACCATTATTTTAGGGTTCAGACAAATTCAGCTGAATCTTTCTTTTTCTTGTGTTTTAAACTGATGAAGGGAAGTCATTCCAAGGAGTATATAAAGTATATAGCCCAATGCACAGGTAGCAGACGGCATGCGAGACAGCCGAGACGGTGAACTCCGCCTTCCTTTTCCAAAATCTTCGTTACTTTATTGGAGCCACCCAGACCAAGTTCCTTTTACGTCAGAACACACGGTTCACATGTCCTGTTCTCGCTCTGCGGGTTTAACATCCTGTTTTTTTATTGTAACCAAAGAGCTGCTACTCTAGACACATTTTTCTTACTGAACGCAAACAGCTAAACGGTTGTAAACAGCTTGGATCTGTTACCTGCGATTGGAAATAGCAACATCTCACTTAAGAAAATAAGAATGGTTTTGAATGAAAGGAGAGGAGTGCCATCTGGCCCATTATAGTGTATGCTGCTTAATAATCCACATATCTTCCAGTCATTTCTTGAAGAGCCCAAGGTATTGGCTTAAAAACACATGACTGGGTAGCTTGTTCCACACTCCCACAACTCTTCGGGGAAAAAGAACCGTCTCCGGGTTTCAATTTTCAATGCACTTATGTATTTGCTCTCCAGCCATCTGGTTCGTGTTTTACACTGGGTTGATTTTGTCAGCGCCTTTGAGGATTCTGAACAGTTGAATCAGGTCCCCTGTTCTCTTTGGAATCTACTGATTCCAAAGCAGTAATATCATTTTTGAAACACTATGACCAAAATTGTACATGATATTCCAAATGAGCCTTCACTCCTATATTTGATCATTTGCACATACCATCCCTTGATTTGAATTTCAAACATTTGACTGTATAGCTCAACATTTTGTTTGCCTTTTTTATTGCTTACTCACATTGTGATCCTAGTCCATCACAGGGCACACACACTCACACCAGGGCCAAGTTTCCCAGAGCCTAATTAACCTCCCAGCATGTCTGGAAACCAGAGCACCCGGAGGAAACCCACACAACCACTGGGAGAACAGACGAACTCCTCCATGCAGTTGAACCCAGGACCCAGTGCCGCAAGACAGCAATGCTCACTCCTGCACCACCATGCCACCAACCTGCTGTATCACAAAACCTTTCAATAAATCCTTATATGGTTCCACGCTGCCTGAATGCACACTGCAGGCTGGGTTTTCACGCTTGCTCAGGCACTCAGACGAGCGCTAATTTCTTTGAATTATCATTGCAACAAAGTGTTCATTGTAGGATCCCATTTATCCAACTTCCTTTCCAGACCAGCAAACCTAGCTAGCTACTGCAATGAAGCTCACAGTGCACAGGGACGTGCATTAAAACAGCACATAATAGAAGACACAGACCCAGCGTTTAATCTTCAATAGGATTAAAAAATGGAAAAACCTGTTTGCACACAGAAAGCCATGTATGGTACTGGCACTACAATACAAAGAATGCAAAATTAGTATTTTGGGGTGTGAGTTGCTCCCAAAAACTCAATTAATCAAACCGTTCCTTCTATACAACTGATGGCAAGCAATAATGATGAGTCATCCCATAAATAATTTTCAATGGACAGGCTAGTATGCCTGCAAATTAATTATGCAAAGAAGAACAAAGAATCACTGCCTTCTTAAAATGAATTCCTCTCAAAATCAGGAATTGGCTACGTGTCACACAGCGCTGCACATCCAAGCCTTTGATATAAATATCTGCAGGACCATCTGCCCATGTCTGTGCCTACTCCGGTCTCCATCAGCAGTGCTGAAACAACACAGAGTGTGTAATACGATATGGCACAAGTTACAAAAAATGAAATCACGGGAAAGCTAAGTGGAAGTTTCCTCTGAAATCAAGTGTTTT